CTGCGTGGTCTCCTGCATCCTCCTGGGCTCGGCGGCGGCCCGGGGGGATGCTCTCGGCCGTCGCGGGGCTGGGCTCCTCCCGCGGGGCTCGGCTCCTCCGCGGGCTCGGCTCTTCCGCGGGGCTCGGCTCCTCCGCCGCCTTCCCCCGCTACTCGGCAGCCGCCTCCTTCCTCTCCTCGACCGCCCCGACCTCCTCCACCGGCAGCCGCCCCCTGCGCCTCCGGCCCCGCTCCGCCCCGTTTGGTCCCCGGCCCCGGGCCGGTTCGGCTCCGCCGGCTCCCCCGCTCCCTGGCTCCCCGCAGCCTCACGAAGATGGAGAGTAGGGTGAGGGCCGGGGCGGTGAAGAGCAGCCGGACGGCCAGGTACAAGTCCACGGCCACTCCTCCCCCCTGCTGCTGGAGCCCACCGTTTACAAGCCATTGCCATAAAGCACAGTGAGACAAGAACCTTAGCCCAGGCCCCATACTTGATAAACATTTCACAGAAAAACCGGCTCTACGTAATTCAATTCTGAAGCGGGGATAAGAAAACAACTCTGAGAGCCAATAAATCAGCTTTGTGACGAGTACTATTAATCCAGTCAAATCTGTCGTTATCTCAACCCTTCGTGCCCCACGTTGGGCCCCAAAAAAAGAACTGTCGTGGTTTAAACCCAGTCAGGTAATTCGTTGCTCATTTCCCCCCCTTTCTTGCCCTCCCCCTGCTCCGGGGGGCAGGGGGGAAATCGAAAAGAATGCAACTCCCACGGGTTGAGATAAGAACAGTTTAGTAACTAAGGTATAACACAAATCACTACTGCTACCACCAATAATAATAATGATAAAGGAAATAAAAGGGAAGGTACCATCTCACCACCAGCCGCCCGATAACTCGCCCCCCCACCCGACCAAGCTCTGACCGATACCTCCCCCAACCCAGCAGTCCCCCAGCCCTTCCGGCAAACTCCCAGTTACCTCCTGGGCATGACGTGCTGTGGTATGGAATACCTCTTTGGTCCCTGAATGCTTCCCCTAGATGAAGAGACATTATAAAACCCTTAGTAGAAATATTGAATGATAACCTTGTCCCAGACATTTAGAAAACACAAAGGATGGGGCAGATAGAACAGAAAACGAAGCTATGAAAATGTGGGGAAGGAAGAAAGAGAAGAATGTAGATGGCTTTAGATGTTTTCAATGTCAACCTGTTTTTCTGCTGGAAGGCACCAAACTGACAGTCGGGGAGATGCACTGAAGGAGGGAAGAAAAGGATTTCTGAGTGGTTTTGAATGTCTTTCTTCCCCATTGGGTACTGGGCTAAACCGAAGGCTTGTGAAGTGGGAAAATCAATATAACAGAGGGAGAAATAACCCTCAATCAAAGTTTGGAAACAAGAAAAATGTGTAACTCAAAGATTATTGAAAAGAACTACATGAATCCAGAAATAGGCACTGAGAATACCTGGGTGAGCTTGTGCAGGGTGAATAATGCAGCTTGAAGTCCCAGAAGCAGACAGCTGAGTACCGCACTTGCTCGATCAGCTTCATCAAGATACCCAGGCAAGCAGCACCTTGAGTGCTCAGGGGAGAGGAAGACCCCTGATCCTCCCTCCCAACAGCACTCAGGCCCTTTACACCCCGACTTAAATTCTCAGCTGAGCAGAGGCTCAGATATGACTCGTCCCCATTTAGCACAAAGGCTTTGTTGACCAACAGACTGTCAGAGCTTTATTTCTTAGAATTGCAGCCTGGTTTGTGTTGGAAGGGACCTTAAAGCTCCTCCAGCTCCAACCCCTGCCACAGGCAGGGACCCCTTCCACTAGAGCAGCTTGCTCCAAGCCCCTGTGTCCAACCTGGTCTTGAACACTGCCAGGGATGGGGCAGCCACAGCTTCTCTGGGCACCCTGTGCCAGCGCCTCAGCACCCTTACAGGGAAGAGCTTCTGCCTAAGAGCTCATCTCAGTCTCCCCTCTGGCAGCTTCAAGCCATTCCCCTTGGCCTGTCCCTGCAGGCCCTTGGCCAAAGCCCTCCTGCAGGTTTCTTGTACTCCCATTCAGACCCTGGAAGCTGCTCTGTGGACTCTAAGCAGCTTCTCTTCTACAAGCTGCACAGCCCCAGTGTTCTCAGCCTGGCCCCATACGGGATGTGCTCCAGCCCCTGAGCATCCTTGTTGCATCTCTGGACTTGCTCCAGCAGCTCCATGTCCTCTTTGTGTTGGGGACACCAGAGCTGTATCAAATCCTCTTGACCTTCCACCAGTTCATCATTGAGGAAATGCTTATAAAGTAGGCAATGGAGACAGTGGTCAGTGCCTTACCTCAAGCCTGAGCCTCCTATTTGTGGGCTCTACTTTCATTTAGCACAATTTAGACACAAAACACATGGTGCTGTCTCAGGCCTGCTATTAAATACCTGATACTTATTTGGATGAATTACTGAAGGCTCAGGCCTCGCTTAAAACAACCTGAAGCTGTCTGAAGAGAACCATTTGTTGTGCTGGCTTCCATACCCTGCACTTGCTGTATGATCTCCTTATCTCTAATAATGACCAGTAGTGAGCAATAATGACCAATAATGGCCAGTAATGCTCAATTCCATAATCACAGATTCCACATATTCCTTCCTTACCTCCACAGTACTGTAGGGCTCCAAATGTGCTTTCAAACCCTGCATAGGTGTGGCAGCAGCTTTCTCTCCCACAGCCTCCTCAGAGCCCCCTTCACCTCCTTGTTCCTCAGGCTGTAGATGAGGGGGTTGAGGGCTGGGGTGAGGATGGAGTAACACAGCGACACCAGCTTTGCCTGATCCCATGAGGATGCCTCATGAGGCTGGACATAGGTGAGGATCGCGGGTGCGTAGAAGATGGTGATGGCAGCCAAGTGGGAGGCGCAGGTAGAGAAGACCTTCAGCCTCCTCGTGGCCAAAGGGATCTGCAGGACGGTGTGGAGGATGTAGGTGTAGGACACCAGGATCATGAGGAGAGGGCCCACGGTGTTTAACACAGTGTTGTAAAAAAGCAAGACCTCATTTGTGCTTGTGTCTGAGCAGGAGAGCTGCAGGAGGGTGGGCAGCTCACAGAAGAAGTGGTTGATGCTCCTGGCCTGACAGAAGGACAACCTCCCTGCCAGTGTGATGTGCACCAGGGAGGTGAGGAACCCGATGGTGTACACCAGCACCATCATGCCATAGCAACGCGCCCTGGTCATGGTAGTGGTGTAGAGCAGGGGCTTGCACACAGCTGTGTATCGGTCGTAAGCCATTACCCCATAGAGGAAGCACTCAAAGGTAGCCAGAGCCACGAAAATGTACATCTGGGCAAAGCAACCCCAAAAGGAGATGTGGCTTCTCCCCAGCAGGAAGGTCTCCAGAGCTTTTGGGATGATAGCAGAGGAAAGGCAAACATCAGCTCTGGGGCATCAGAGAAACCCAAAAGGATGAAGCCGGAGAGAACCGTGACGTTTCCTGTATCTGTCATTTCAACAAGTTGATGGATTTGGATTGAAATGAAAGGAATCAGTGAAATACACCCCTATGAGAGAAATAATGTGGAAGTTTAGTTGGAGTTCAATCCACAAAGAAAATGCAATAGAAAATGGTGTATTTGTAATGGTGTATTTCTGTGTGTAGCCCAAGATCTGAAGTCAAAGAGGTGAAGGAGCTCATTACACAATTGGTGCCATCTTAAGGCACATCAAGGATAAGAGGGTTATGAGGGGCAGTCAACATGGTTTCACCAGGGGGAAATCATGTTTGACCAATCTCTTAGCCTTTTATGAGGAAATAACGCGGTGGATGGATGATGGCAGAGCGGTAGATGTGGTCTACCTTGACTTCAGCAAAGCATTTGACACAGTCTCCCACAGCATCCTCACGGCTAAATTGAGGAAGTGTGGACTGGATGATCAGGTAGTGAGGTGGACTGCGAACTGGCTGAAGGAGAGAAGCCAGAGAGTTGTAGTCTATGGGGCGGAGTCTAGTTGGAGGCCTGTAACTAGTGGAGTGCCTCAAGGGTCAGTACTGGGACCGGTATTATTTAATATATTCATCAATGATTTAGATGAAGGAATTGAGTGTACTATCAGCAAGTTTGCTGATGACACTAAGCTGGGAGGAGTGGCTGACACGCCAGAAGGCTGTGCTGCCATCCAGCGAGACCTGGACAGGCTGGAGAGTTGGGCAGGGAGTAACTTGATGAAATATAACAAGGGAAAGTGTAGAGTCCTGCATCTGGGCAGGAACAACCCCAGGTTCCAGTCTAGGTTGGGGAACGACCTGTTAGAGAGCAGTGTAGGGGAGAGGGACCTGGGGGTCCTAGTGGACGACAGGATGACCATGAGCCAACACTGTGCCCTTGTGGCAATGTCATCCTGGGGTGTATTAGAAGGGGGGTGGTTAGTAGGTCGGGAGAGGTCCTCCTTCCCCTCTACTCTG